GTAATTATTTAAAATGAGTAAAACATACCCCTAATATGCTAACAAACGTCACGGATCTGGTTACAGACAATCCCGGCGAATAATACTCATAATCTACGGTGACATAGAATGGCTTTGTGTCGTTTGAACACTGAGGGCGAAGTGCCATGTATTCACATAAACCTTGAAAGTCGTACTTCGTATCGTCAAATGTCTCATGGTGCACATCACCCCAGCCAATACATGTTTCGTAATCATCCACTTAAAACGAAATACAAGAGACGATAGCGTTAGGTTAGCCTAATCAAAGCAAAATACAAAATTGTTAATGATAAGAATAATTGCGTTATATAACAGATATGATATAAACAATAAATAACATAACGGAGGCCGTGACACATTTGTCTCTTTCCAGTGCCTCTATGGCTATGATAGAATTATTATATAATTTCGCCCGAATGCCGAAAAATATATATCAGTATATACAAAATGTAGAAATATTAACATCAATATTTACGTACTGAAACAGTTTTCACCGTCTCCAATATATCCATGTTCACAATGGCATCCATGAATTCCATGTACATTCCCACAGAATGCATTGATATGGCATATCAGACTCCAGCACTCCATCACATCCCTGCCTTTACATACACAGTAAACGCTACAATCCTGATTTACCATAACTTCTCCAACCTATGTCAAAGAACGTGTTATTGAGTATAATTATATGATTTGAATATCTATATAATTAAAAAAAAATATTCACGATTTTAGTAATTCTACTAACGATGATAATATACAAACGAAACTTACATGGTAATAGCGACCATTATAAAAACATCCACAGTCGTCGGGTTTCACACATTCATTCCCACTCAACAAGTACCCCATAGGACAGAAACATCCTTCTACACATGGTGTATCCATACAATCTCCCACCAGTCCATGACAAGTTGGTGGACATGCTGGTCCACATGGATCGTACACTTTGCCCAAAGGACATTGTAAAGCTGTGAATTCAAAACAAAAATGAGGTGCATTGTTATGTTCTGCCGGTGCTAGTAAAGTAGTAAAGAATGTGAAATACAAATACACATAGAATACGCACGACAAAAGTCTTCTGATCTCCAGACTCCTATGACAACGCCCATTTGATGACATACGCTCGCATATCCAGCAATATCATCACAGGCGATATCTATCTCAGGCCATGATGCACATATGTCATAGGTACATGATTCAAAAAATGTTGCTGGATCCATAACAGCAAAGCATTCTGAAAACGGCCCTGAAAAAAATTAAAATTAGTAATATTAATGATTGTTGTGTGTACTAATATTGTGGTATATATCATCATACACACACTACATGTATACTACATGCAGACATGGCACAGCCGAATAATTGCCTACCTGTAATGTCGGTTAATATTGAACAAACATCTACTGCT